TGAGCCAGTCTCCAGGTGATGGAACTCATCTGCTCTTCCCCTGATTAAGGACAACAGATGGACTGGTATCACACACACACACACACACACACACACACAATGGTTTCACAGTCATGAGTCATCATCAAACACATTGAACACACACACACTGTACAAGTCATGCGGCCTGTAATCAATACTAAATACACACAGAGTGAAAACATATCTGGCCCCAAGATGTCCATGCATCAAGCTCCAGTGGCCCAGATGCCTCGGCCTATTCAGTCTTCATCACCACCATCCATCTCATCATCATCATCATCATCGTTAAGTACACAAGAAGATTCATCCTCCCACAACATTTCTGACACAACGTCTCCACTGTCCTCCTGACAGAGATTATAAGTTCATATATTTAACCTGCTCAAAGTCTCGCTCAAAGAAGACGTGACCAAAAACTAAGTGACAGGCATAGATGTCTCCGCTCCTATTGTAAAATGAGTCATATTTGACAATGACGTCCTAAATATTCTAGATACTAAATATTTAATTCATGAATATTTTTACTCCCAAATGTTGACTCACAAGCAGACTCAAACACGCTCTGACAATCTTAGAATAAAATGTCTTTGGAGCACATAACCTTTAGAGCTATGTTACTGAGGCACGGATTGTATAGGAAGAAAGAAAGAAAGAAAGAAAGAAAGAAAGAAAGAACAGACAATATCGTAAAACATGTGGACATACTGCGATCATTTTTGCTGACCTCAATAAGTCGATAAATAATTATTTTGACCTACGGAGGAGAAACCACTCTTTCCTTTTTCTATCCTTGATGGATAACACTGACATGCTGCATGTACTTCCATAGTAGTACACACCGCACGGTAGAACTTTAGAGATGGGTAAATATAAGAAATATAGCAAATTTACATATCATTAATTATTAATGTATTAACTTACAAAATAGTGACTTGTTTTTCATGTTGAGATTTCAAACTTTAAAGTTACTTACAATGCAGTTTACAGTTGAATTTGTTCATTAGTTTGTTAGTTCTTTCTTGCTGCTGTTGTGCATGCCCTCCACCTCCCGATCACCACCTAGTCTTTAGAGATTCATCAACCTCATACGCCTCAGCGGTCAGCAGCCTCTGAGTCATCAGCCACCACCACCACCAGTGTCTGGACTCCATGGGGGGAGTTATCTCGCTGCCGCTTAGATGTCACTCGATCACAAAATATCTCCCTCAGGTGTCCAAGTGCCAAAAACTTCTCACTCATATTTCATATTAAATATTATCTTCTTCATACTTCATACAGTTACATACTTAACGTAAAGTTACGTAGGTAATGTTAAGTTAGGTAGATTAAGTTTAGAAAAGGAAACATGGTTAGGTGTCTTTAGATTTACACAAGTAAAGTTAGGTAGGTTTAGGTAAGTAAATTTACATAGGTAAGGTTCAGGCAAGTAAGGTAAGTTACACAAGTAAAGTTACGTACTTAATGTAAAGTTACGTACTTAACGTAAACTAAACATACTTAATGAAATTTAGGTAGGTTAAGTTTAGAAAAGGAAATATGGTTAGGCATCTTGAGATTTATGCAAGTAAAGGTGTATAGGTAAGGTTTAGTCAGGTAAAGTTACGTAGATTAGGTTTAGGCAAGTATAGTTATACAGTATACTTAACGCAAAGCTATGTATGTAATGGAAAGTTAGGTTAGGTTTAGAAAAAGAAACATGGTTAGGCGTCTATAGGTTTAGGCAAGTAAAGTTACGTACATAACTTGAAGTTAGGTAGGTTAGGTTTAGGAAAGACGATTGGGCGTTTTTACTGTAGGTTTACAAAAGTAGAGGTGTATAGGTTAGGTTTATTCAAGTAAAGTTACGTAGATTAGGTTTAGGTAAATAAAGTTATGTAGGCTAAGTTTAGGAACTAAAACATGGTTAAACATCTTTTAGGTTTAGGTAAGTAAAGTTACGTACGTTAGGTTTAGTCAAGTAAAATTACGTAGGCTAAGTTTAGATAGCAAAACATGGCTGGACATTTTAAGGTTTAAGGAAGTAAAGTTACGTAAGTTAGGTTTAGGAAAAGAAAGATGGTGATGTCGTACCTTAAAATAACTCAAATTTCACTTGGTTTCACATGCCTCTGAACACTGGTGTCCTGGGGTAAAGTCCTGTGTTGTGTGATCCATTCACCATGCCAACTTGCCACCTAACGTGGAATAATTTCTTATTGACTCCTGTCTGTGCGTTGTTCATGTGATCTCTCCCTTCCAGGTTACACACAAATCACTGGCTCATGATTACATGGGCGATTTATGAATTGTGGTGCATTATGTACAAACAGTGCATGAGAATAGCCTGAACTAAACATATCTGTGGGAAGCTTCTGCAACAACCGACTTTAATAGCTCCAATAAACCCTGAGACCAGAGTTGACAGGACAAACTCTCTCCTTACTGTGAGTACTTGATCCTTAAGTGGTTTATCTCTGTAGCTCTGACTCATCCACTGAGCATCCCCTAACCTTTAACAGATGTTCAGCAACTTTCCAACAGCCCACAAACCTGAGTCAGTGTGTTTTACAGTGTACCTGCCTCATTAAAACACAGCAATACTTCTTAATCACAACTCAGTAATGTCTACTTTAATACCCTGGGACTAATTAAAACATATTTATACACTGTCATTCTGGGTCTTTTGACTGATAAAGTTATATCATGAACCACTTAAAACCTGCCAGTATTCATTTTTAAGGTCCCAGGCTGCGGTATACATCAAGCTTGACAACAAGGTTTTAGATGGTCCATGACTTTTAAAATTAAATCATCAAAATGCTTTTATCAAACTTAAATTATGACATGTACAAACCTATCAGAGGCATATTCTCCTTTTCTTTTTAACACTATATTAACGTGATATTATTGACTACACTTAGGAGGCTGAGAGAACAAAAGGAGAGTGAGGCCGAATAAAGACACCACAGATGATTCATTCATCTCTCAAATTATCTTTGTTGTCGTTACATAATATCGACACTGAGCAGACACAATCCTCAATCTTGCAGTAAAACTTGCCAGTGAACCCAGTGTGACCCTGGAGCAGATATTACTCTGCTCCCATATTAATCCGGCAGTCACTGTAAAACACTCCATTTGGTCTACACTCATTTGCCTTCGGGGCCACATTAATGATAATTACGAGGCTCTCAGCATGCTAGTTAATACCCCTCCATATAATCCATGTCACTGCGAAAAAAAAGCAAAGACAGAATATGCTTAGTGGGTGATAAAAGAAGAGGAAAACCACAATGGAGTAGGGGAGACCGGGGTTGGTTGTCACAGTGCTTATTACAGCTACACCAGAGGGCGCTGTGACGTTATGTTGATGACAAACAATTGGCCTGACATCCTGCTCATTTTGCACTGGTCATCTTGTGGAACACACACACACACACACACACACACACAAATCAATCAATCAAAAATTCAACCACATATATTGTGACACCCAACCCTGTGATGGGATTGGGTGTCCCAATGTGTCAGAGTGTCTTTGATGGTTAATAACTTCTTATTACAATAAAGCAGGATTTACTGTTGTGTGGCAGACCCTAAGCCGTAGCCAACGCACTTCACCTACTCCGTTGTGAACATTTATACTTGTGCAGTGGAGTGTCAGTGTCACTCTGCAGTTTCACCTCCAAAACACTAGTTGGCGGTGGGGTTTCTGTGATGTGTTGTAAAGTTTAGTTGATTGAAAACACACATTAAACACACATTAAACATGGCTTAATAGAGACGATTTCAAACACAAGTACACAAATCAGCTTCACTGTAACTCGCAGCATTCACAGACAAACACTTGTCTTTATCTGGACACATTTTCCCAACAAATACAACACGTAAAGTTATTAGCACAAGCCTACAGTATTTTACATTGTATAAATTAGCCTAGCGACTAGCGAACTTTCCCTCTACTCATATGAAGCCAGGGACGACAGCAAAATTTAACAAAGGTAACGTTAAAAATTTGCCTCCATTACAACTCACAAGGTTCACCGACAAAACAACTGTCTTATACTAAACACATTTTCCAAACAAATACAACATGCTAACATTATTAGCACAAGCCTATGGCCTTTTACATTGTATAAATTAGCCTAGCGACTAGCAGAGATTTCCTCTGCTCATATGAAGCCAGGATAAATCACACACAAGAATTAAAATGCTATTTTTGTGGAGGCTTTATTGTCTTCACAATTTATTGTTTCTTATCTGTGAAATTAAAGTAAATAAAAGCTTTGTTTCCACTGAGGGTAATGGTTTCAGCTTACAAAAATAGACAGGAGGTCTGAATCGCTGCAACATGTAGGCCTAGTTATATTTCTGGAGAGCTACATGTCAGGCTGCAGCGTCGATTCAACGCAGACATTTAAATTTGTTGTAAAAGTTGTAAAAATGAGAGGGATTCCCATTTCAAGCCAAGACCTTAGTGTTTCATTTAATGTAGGAATGACTATTGAACGATGATTTGATGATGAGCAATTCACACAAGACCCCGGTCTCCCCTATATGGACTTCCAAAAACAAACAAATAAATAAAAAATCATGCACAATGGGACAATATTTAAAATTCGTGTTACATGCTGCGAGAGCTGAATCAACTCGATGAGTGCTTGAAAAAAAAAATAAACAAAAAGAACATAACAATTTCCATTCTTATCTCCCCAAAACATGGCGCCTGGCCTCACACACACACACACACACACACACACACACACACACACACACACACACACACACAAGCTCAAAAAATGAAGAGGGAGAGAGGAAGGAGGGAGAAGGAGAATGAAAGACAGAGAAAGAAAGAGAAAGAGGGGGGTGATAACAGCTTCAATAAATCATCCGGGCCAGTCGCCGCTCCCCGGGGATGTGGGATGGATTAAATTAAGCACTCCCTCCACCCGTGTGTCTATCCATCCCTCCAACCCTCCACCCCTCCCTCCCTCAATGCGCCGTATAAATGCCAACAGCTGATCGCGAGACGCCACACTCACGGGAACACCTCGCGGACTGCAGAGAGAGAAGAGAGGGGGATACAGAGAGAGAGAGAGAGAGAGAGAGAGAGAGAGAGAGGGGACGCTGTTGATCCACTCGGCCACACGGAGTCTTATTATTATTTCTTCTGCCCACCTGAGTAGTCGTCATCACCGGGAATTAAGGACTATTTCTGCGGCAAAGAGGGAAGGACAAGCCCTCCGACGTCTTTTTGAAAATCTTCCTAAACCGTCCTTTCTTTTCCCCCCTTCTTATTTTCTTCGCATCCCTCCCTCCTCCTCCTCCTCTTCCTCTTTCTCCTCCATCTCTTCTTCCTCTTCTTTAAAGGGGCCCGAGAGCCGCCGCACGCGCAGCAGGGTGCCTTCCACCGCCTGTTATTTTTGTTGTTTGTGTGTGTTTGTGTTTTGCCTGCTCGCGAGCCCCTGCCCTCTGGTCTGCCTCCTGCCCGCGAGCACAGAGTGCGCGAGGCAACCTCCCCGGAGGGAGCTGTCCGGTGCTGAAGTTGCATTTCTCACCCTCTCTGCACGAGGACTAAAAGCAGGGAGACAGTCAGAGAGACAGAAAGAAGAGGAAAGAAATCCTAACTGAGCGGTGTGTGAGCGTTCAGCTGTTCCACCGGATCAACTCACAGCCTCGCGCTTCCTCCCAAAATCTGAAGACAATCTTCCGCCGGTTCGCCGCGTCTTGTTGGTGTGTAACGGGCGAATCAGCACGCTGGCCAGGCCGTCGGCGAACGGCTGTGTTTGTGAGTGTGTGTTGTGTTTGTGAGTGTGTGTGTGTGTGTGTGTGTGTGTGTGCGTGCGTGTGTGTGTCGGTGTCGCACCACCATGCCAAGGTCTTTCCTGGTGAAAAAGGTGAAACTGGATGATTTCTCCACCGGAGCGGATTTGGAGAACGTCTACCGGCACAGGACAGACCTCAGCTTGCGGCTCCACGACAAAGGTAGGTCAGGCTGCCTGCACGGCGAGCACTAACAGGTGTCTCACAAACAAGTCGGTCTAACAGAGGATGAGGAGGAGGAGGAGGAAGAGGAGGAGGAGGAGGAGGACAGGCAGGGAGCCGAACAATGCTGTCTCCAAAAATAGGGCTTTAGCTATGAGGTGGATTTACCTGTTGTGTCCTGGAGGGATTCCCTGTGATTGTTCTCTAAAATTAAACTCAGTGGATGCAAACCTGCAACTCTTAACAAAATGGTCTGTCAACAGTTGTCAGTATATCTGTACCTGCTCTTATAACGTTCCTATACTTTGTGTTTGAGACATATCACAGGGCTGTTGTCTCCCTACAGGCTGCTGGGTGTACTCCAGGCAGATAAGTAGCCTATAATCATTGATTACAGACCAACTGCAGACAGCACAGTTATCACACAGTTATTACCTTCCTGATGGGTAATAAAAGCTTCAAAGCCCTGCACAAGCTCTGCAAAATAAGCACTTCTACATGACTTCAAAGGATGATGAGATGAGATGGTAAAACACTGAAGACCTGCCCACCTCACTAACCACTACACCCTGCTGAATGAGCGCTACCACGCCACATCATGTAAAACTGTATTTACTGGGGGTGTGTAAGCTAAAGCAGGCTTGATGTGAAAGCGTTTTGGTTGGCTGTAGGAGTCGAGCTGCCACTGGAGCGCAAAGCTCATTTGAGAAATCAACTAAATCCAGCGCGTCCCATGTTTCATTGATTTTGGCTCACAGTCAGCAGGGACACGCCCCCCCCCCCCACACACACACACACACACACGCAGGCTAAGTAAGGTTAAAAGAGATAAAGACGGGACAGTGGTTATTAATATCTGGTCCACTTTCACTTGGTTTTGGGGAATTAACAAAGTCAAAGTGATGTCCTTGTCTTTTATGGAGAAGCTCAGTGTGATGTGTAAGACGATGCATGAAGCCTACATCCTTGGATCATGTATGTTAGGAGTAGATGTTCTATACAGACACACATAGTGACACTTCATGTCTGTTTACCGCCTCCAGGTGCAGCACAAATGAGCAGAGGTTCAGTTATCCTGTATGTAACAATGCTGTGGTCAGAAACATTACCAGCAGCTGCCCAGTCCAGTATTGTCTTGACTTATAAGCCACATTCTGCATTAGGGTCTGTGCATTGTGTCCAAGTATGCCTGTCCTGTTTTTGCAGCATCGGCAGATTTTAATCACTCACCAAGACTGAAGTTTATGGGTTTTTTTTTTAAGTAAATAAATGCATCAGCTTTGTTGCTTTGTTGATGCATTTATTGTCCTTTGTTCTATCCCACTTTGCAGTCACTGATGAACTGTTGAATATAAGTTAATGGTGACAGACTCTGAATGGAAGTCACATTTCTTTCCAGGTGGAGTCATTATATTTGTAATATCTTGCTAAATACAGGTATTATTTTATTTCATAATAATAATTTAGATGAACTCTTCAGGTGTTACAAAGCAGGGCCCTGTTGCAATTGTCCTGGAGACGGTGTGATTCATTGTTTGGTGCTGCCTCTTTGCTCCTGAAGCTGTGAACTTCCCCACACCCTGTAACTGTGTGCGTCACATTTTACACGGGAAAACCAGAGAGATGCCTTTGCCATGTAAATGAAGCCACTGCATTGCTTCCACCCCAGTGTCACTGACACATCAACGTGTGTATTCCGTGCGCAGTCTCGCCTGCATTCCCACCCCCTTCCCGCTCGTAAAGCAAAAAGCTGTCAGCGGTGTATTTATAATGTCGAGGTTAACAAGCCCTGCTCGGCTTGACACGCGATCTGCCACCTCAGCAGCGCCGCGCAACACTGCCTGTCCCGGCCACCTTTTGTCTCCATCCCTTACATCTGATGGTAACAGCTTAATGCAGCTTCTACATACAGTACAGCACAGGCTCTGCCCACGACAACACGTTAGGAACAACTCTCTGCTCGAACGAACCGGCTTTTGGAATAATTTATATCCCACCCGTGTTGCGTGCGTTGTGTGTGCTGGGACTGTGTATTCAGATGGGACGCTGTGGCAGATATGTAAAAGCTGTTATCGTATGCAGACAGATATGTGGTGTCACATAGAGTGTGTTGCTTCAGCGTCTTACTTGAAAATCCTGAGAGACTGGATTAATAAAAACAACATTAATTTCTTAAAGAAAAAAAAAGTTAAATGCTATTTTTCCCACAAAATGCCTCCTTTTGGTGACACATGCAAATAGCCACATCTGTCTGTCTTATGTCCAATTGATCACGCTTCCCTTCACATCATACACATATTTAACTGACACATATTAAAAATAACAAGGTATGTGTGAGGTAATATTTGTTTAGTAAAGTGAAAAGCAACCTAATTTTTCTACTGTTATCTTCGTAGTGTCACAGGTTGTTTACGGACGTTTGCACCTAGGGACAGTTTAATCTGCATTTAAGCCACAAAGAACTGTCTGGTGTGTTTAAGCACCAAACACAATGTGTTGCATAATCAAACAAAACGGTAAATGAGCAGAAAACAACACGTGTGTAATGACACACTTGTAGATACACACACACACACACACACACATACACACAAAACACGTGTTTAGTCGACTGCAGGGGAACCAAATCTAAAGGTCTATTATAATGTGTGTAAATATGCATGTGTTTATGTAATGTATTGACAGTACTGTATGTGATTATGCATTTCTATATTTAGACACATGTAAACATTTTCACATATTTACAAATCCCCTGCAAAACACACACTGGATGTGAAAGAATTAGCATTTGTTTCAGATATGCCACGACAGAGCAGCAGCAGCACCATCCAACCCGCTCATATATAAACAGTATCTATACTGTTTAAGAATGAGTTTTGGTAGCTGTACTTTACCCAAAAGGCTTGTCATGCAACTCTCCAACCCCCTGATCTGCAGAAAAAACCCACCTCACTGTTGCCTCCACTGAGTGAGCCTGTGCAGCAGCCTCGCTGTCACTGTGCCATCGACTTGCAGCGCACTGGATCTGTCCGTGGTGCTGATGCTCATTTTCACAGCCTAAATCAGCTTTCTCAAGTTCAGGGTCAGCCTTTGCGCATTTATCTTTCTCAGAGGAAGTGTTTAAACTGCAACCTTTGAGAACTGAGAGGAAGTACATTGCTGAATTATCTCTGGACTGATACTGTAGGTATTTTTCACACTCCACTACTTGCCACAGGTGTGCGGGATAGAGACAGATGTTCTGTGTTACCGAATGCCAATTAGGACCGTCACATATGTTAAAAGTTGTTAAAAGTAGTTACAGTTGCCGCTGCTTTACTGATTGTGAGTTGGGAATCATGCCGTACAACTTATGCAGAATAAATGCAGGGAATGGCACTTGGCCGCAGCTGCTGCAGTATTACTACAGGGCAAGTATATAATCACTGGACAGGATTCTGTGTAGTTGTACACCTGACAGGTGGCAGCTTATTTAAGATATCACATGCTGGATTTTTTAAAGAAAATTTAAAACAATGTATAGACTCATTAAAGTGGAAATGATTAGTCGACTAAGCAATTAGTTTATCGACAAGAAAATATTCGCTAACTATTCTAACAATCAATTAATTATTAAAAGTAAGCTATGCAAAAATTGCAGAACATTTTTGTTTTCAACCTCTCAAATGTGGAGGTTATATCATATTTTATTCTGGACTGACAAAACAACACAATTTAGGGCATCACCTTCAACTTTGAGAAATTGGGATGGACTGTTTTGACTATTTTCTAACATCTTATAGACCAACGATTGATTGGTAAATCTAGAAAACAATGGGCAGATTAATTGATCATGAAAATTATCATTAGTTGCAGCCCAAAGACTCATAAAATTTCTCTCAATCATTAATCATGACCCACTAGAAGTGCGTGATGGTGCATTTATCTGCAGAGACTCTGCCCTCTGCCTGTATATTCTTATTTTCCTCTTATTTTGCTGTGTTTGGGACGTACTTGGGTACAGTGTGCAGGTGAGATAGAGACTTCTTTTTAAAAAAGCGAACAGGTGCTAGACCGTTAGCAGCACGCATCCAAGTGAAAGCTACGAAAATTGTAGAGACACTGCTGAAAAAATGCAAATACAGTGCCGTGAAACACCAAGTGGACAAGGCTCCAAAAAGAGAGTGAATCTAAGGTTGGCTTTCACCTTCACTGTTTACAAGCAGTAACCGACAACTCCTGTATAGCATACCTTTAAAGTTTTACTTATATCATTTAGAGTGAGAGGACTGTAACACTCAGTGCCTCTTAAAAACAGCATGATATAAAAACACCATACATAACCAGACATGATCTGGTGGTTAGATGTCCCGGCAATAAGTGTCAGATTGCTGATCTAGGTCGCCATCTTTGGTTCTCTGCTCTCTCGGTTTAAAGGAAAAATGGTTTCTCCACACTTGCAGAGCCGCGGCCGCCTGCATGTCAGTATTTGTCCATCTGTAGCACTTACTGCACATCTTAATGGTATTTCTACATACAACATTTAGAAACACGGTAGACACAAGTTACTGGATGAATGAGCAGGCTGTTTCTGCACTCAAGTGCAGAAACAGAAAGGAAAAAAACAGCATGCAGCTGTATGAGGCGAGCTGCACATCACTAATGGTGTAGTTGTTTACATCACTGAGTAAGCACTTCTTCACTTCCACCGATGCAGGCTGTGTAATGCTGGTCAGTGTACTGAATCTCTGCATTACTGTCTCTGTGAAGAGTGATAAGCTTGAGAGAAGAGGACTATCTGGTTTCACTCTGTTCTTCCAGCCCAGCTGGCTACAGCAGTTTAATGGCGTTAATCCAAACTTTTCCCCCAGATGTGTCCCTGTTAGACAGAACTATGCATCAGAAATGTCTTCATATTTCCTACTTGTATACGAACCTTGGTACTGTCATGTGGTGGGGCAGAATTTCTGCACCTGTGCCTCTTAAAGGGGCAGTTCACCCCAAAAGTAAATGTTCATATTTTTTCTCTTACCTGTAGTGCTATTAATTGCTCTAGATTGTTTTGGTGTGAGTTGCAGAGTGTTGGAGATAGTGGCCGTAGAGATGTCTGCCTTCTCTCCAGTACAATGGAACTAGATGGCACTCGGCTCGTGGTGCTCAAAGTGCCAAAAAGGGACGTTCTAGAAATCATGACCCAGTTCCTCAAGATAATCCACAGACCTTGTTGTGAACAGTTTCATGTAAGAACTATTTGCTCTCTATCATACTAGACCCGCCAACCTAGCTAAACCTTGCATCACTGAGCTAGCTAATGTTACAGCTCAGCCAAGAAGGACGCCATGATGCGGTTGGTGGGTGTAGTTTGGTAGAAAGAAAATAATCCCTCCACGAAACTGCTCACCAAATGACCAAAGTGAGAACTGTGTCTGCACAAGTCAAACACGTTCTCGGTTGGTGTTGGCCTCCACCAGGGCTGTCACTTGTCACCAATCCTGTTTGTGATTTTCACGGTCACCTTCACCGCTGTGGTGAAAAGGGAGCTGAGCTAGAAGGTAAAGCTTTCAATTTACTGGTCCAGCTACGTCCCAACTCTCACCTATGGTCATTAGCTCTGGGTAGCTACTAAAAGAATGAGGTTTTGAATACAAGCGGCCGAAATGAGTTTCCTCCGTGGAGTGGCTGGGCTCAGCCTTAGAGATAAATTGAGGAGCTCAGACATATAGAGGGAGCTCTGAGTAGAGCCGCTGCTCCTTCATGTCGAAAGGGGTCAGTTAAGGTGGTTCAGGCATCTGATCAGGATGCCTCCTGGGCGCCTCCCACTTGAGCTGTTTCAGGCACGTCCTACTGGTAGGAGGCCCTGGGGCAGACCCAGAACACGCTGGAGAGATAACATATCTCGTCTGACCTGGGAACGCCTTAGGATCCCCCAGGAGGAGCTGGGAAGTTTTGCTGGGGAGAGAGATGTCTGGGGTGCTTTGCTTGGACTTCAAGCGGATGAAAATGGATGGATGTATGGAACTGCTAACAATAAGTCTGTGGATTATCTTGAGCACCACAAGCCGAGTGTCATCTAGTTCCTATATATTCGACAGACGGCAGACACCTCTATGGTCGATCTCTCCAACACTCAACAACTCACACCCAAACAATCTAGAGCAATTAATAGCACTACAGGTAAGAGGAAAAATATGTGGTTTGGATTTTGGGGTGAACTGTCCCTTTAAGAAAGTTTTAAAATAGCAAATGTACTACCTGTAAGTTATGTCCAGACTGAGCCCAGTTCTGTATATCTTTGATTCCTCCACCATGCTTCAGTATAAACCCATTTTTATCTTAAGTTCCACCTCAGCATTTTATAACCTAACATTCTTTTCTTTTTTGTCAGCTGGGTACATCAGTGACTACATCAGCCCTGTTGTGTACGATGGTGAGAGCGATGGTGGGCTCAAGATGCCCTCCCCTGACCCCCTCTACGATGGTATCCACAGTGACTACGGGGCCCCTGACTCTGAGTCCCCTGACAGTCCTGGCTCAGAAATCACCGATGGTTACATCAACGGAGATGCTGCAGTGAGTGAGGGTTACACAGTCGACGCCTTCTTCATCACCGACGGCCGCTCGAGGAGGAAAGCTATCAGCAGTCCCAGGACCATCCAGAGGCACACCTGCAACGAGTGCGGCAAAACCTATGCCACGTCTTCCAACCTGAGCCGGCACAAACAGACACACCGCTCGCTGGACAGCAAGCTGGCAAAGAAATGTCCGACCTGCGGTAAGGTGTACGTGTCCATGCCCGCCATGGCCATGCACCTGCTCACTCACGACCTCAAGCACAAGTGTGATGTGTGTGGGAAGGCGTTCAGTCGACCCTGGCTTTTACAGGGCCACATGCGCTCTCACACGGGCGAGAAGCCATTCGGATGCGCCCACTGCGGGAAGGCCTTTGCTGATCGCTCTAACCTGCGTGCTCACATGCAGACCCACTCGGCCTTCAAGCACTTCAAGTGTAAACGCTGCAACAAGACCTTCGCGCTCAAGAGTTACCTGAACAAGCACTACGAGTCTGCCTGCTTCAAAGGCCCCTTCTCTCCCCTCGGCCCCCTAGATGCATGACCCCCCTGCATAGATGAAACAAGAGACAAAACTGCAGACATAAATTACCATTATCCTTACAGACTGAACTGCAGACACAAACAATCTATTTTTGGTCAGAATATGACCTTGCTTTCCCTCCTCCCCCTATCTCACCTCCCCCCACTTTGCTTTCCCTTGGAGCCTATTCATGATGATGAAGATAGCACAATTTTTCTCCTTGAGATTTGCCCACTTAAGGATTTAACTGATCTACGCATGCACTTCCTCAAAAACTTTTCACCTCCTCTTCCTGTCTGTTCTGGATGGAGACAATAATACTAACACGGCTTCCTTCTGGCATCTAGATACAGTATAGCGTCATATATTTTGGGACAGTGATGATGATGATGATGAGGATGACGACAAAGACAATTGTAAGCCTCTAGCTACTGGGTTCCTCCCTGCACTGAAACGCAGTGAAAGAGTTTTCCCATGATTTTGATTTTTGGGGGAATAATAGTAATAATAATAGTAATAATAATGATAATAATAATGTTCTGCTGCACCAAGTGACCATATTCTCTCCACTACTGAGGTAAAATACTATTTATTTATTTATTTATTTTAGCATTTGTTTTTTTTTATTTGTCTGTTTATACTTGATTTGATAACAACAAAGTGAAACCGTTAACTTATTTGTTGCACTTTAATTTCTGTACATGTATGTAGGATATTTGCCAACCTCTTTCTATCACTACAGGCCAAAGCATATGTCACTTTTTTGAGTAGTATTTTTTCCTATTATGTTGTTTACCTTTTTTCTTATTAACGTTATTGCATGCAAAAAAAAAAAAATAATAATAATAATGAAATCTATGCCAACATCATAAAAAGCTTATGATTTTTGCCAAATTCCTATAGATAGAACCTGAGGGCAATATTTTTCTCTTGGAGCCTCCGTAGGACTCTTTAAAAGCAATAATCACCTAATGCATGGTATTTTATGATGAAGTTATGAAGTATTACCTACTACTGTATAGCAGTTTAAAAATCAGGTATGTTTTACTTCACCTATAGTCATAAACAGAAAAATACTAATATTACAGACATCAGGGAACATGCCAATGTAGTGTTAGAGTAACAAAAAGAAAAGTCCTGTCTTTCCTCTCTTGTTATGCACTGCCTGCCTCTTAGTGAGTAGAACTAATGTAGGACGTAGGCTAGAGAGGCTGGGATCAGCCGCCTGCTGGGTGTGAGGCCTATTGTAGGATAACTATAACCCTGACAGACCTGTGCTAGGCTAACTCGAGCATGAAATAAGCCTGCTAACGATAACCAGGGGAGGCCTATTTTTGGATTAGGCCTCTCGACATTTTACTCAGATTGGATCATTCACAAGAGTCCAATGGTTTATTAAAGGTTCTGGGATGTTAAAATGGCACTTATGCCCTGTCTACATGTACACAGATATTTTGTAAACGCATACTTTGCTCCACATTTCGTCCTCTTGTCCACACACAAAAACAGTTTTAGGTCACTAAAACAGAGACTTCTGAGGAGAGGATTTTTCAAAGCTCCGCCTACTGTTTATCTGCATGGAGGTGATGATTCCCTCCATTCACGCATGCCTATTGTTTCTTTGTGCACTAACAACAGAGGTGGACTACCTGTTTGTTTATGTTTTATTGGCCCTGCTCGGTCTAATGACTACTTTACATTTAAACTTAGTATTGTTGCACCGCTTCATGGACAAACAGAGGTGTCTGCTGCACCCAGTGTTATTTGGTCCACCTTTGCCCGTTTAAGTTTTTCCTTATCCGCTGTGAGGGTCCAAAGGACAGAGGGATGTCGTATGCTGTAAAGCCCTCTGAGGCAAATTGTGATTTGTGATATTGGGCTTTATAAATAAAATTGAATTGAAACTGAATTGAATTAGAATCCGCGGTTTTAAGTCCACAAGAAACAGCAGTTTTGGATCAGACGTGGTTGAACCAGCAGATGGTGGGACATTTTCCAGAGTGAGATTCTTGTTGATGAGGAATTTCGTATGTCCAGAGCATCAATCGTATCTTTAAGTGAGCCTTAAATATCGAAGGGGAATTAATGGTGATGAGATCTCCAGTAGGTGTTTTGAAAAAGGGTGTTAGCCTGTCCACTTTACCACCCGTGTGAAATGAGGGGAGACTGCTATAGACACCTAACGCTGGAGAGTGTTTGGAGTTGTTTGTATGCCAGTGTGGACAGAGATATTTTCCAAAACAAATTTTGTGTGGACAGATTTTTTTTTTTAAATGGAGAGGGAACATATCTGTTTTCAAAAATATCTGTGTACATGTAGACGGGGCCTTAAATGTGTTGACAACACATGTTCTGTGTCATGCATCCAAATAACAGTAGGCCTTTAACAGACCTGTATATCTCTGTCCTGATGCAATACAGCAATCAGATTGGAGGACAACCCAAAATTAAAGTAAGCACATGGTACTTAACAACTCTCAGTATACTTTCAATGGAAAACCAAGTCAAAGTTTGGTGTTGAAGTTGGACCGAGGTCAACTTAAAATGCAATGCATTATTCAACTACCTTTCCAGTGCACTTCCAAACCATAAAGCGTGCATTCTTAAACCACAGGAAAAGCATGCACTTTAGCTGGATGGTCCGATTGAAGCTTAACTGTTACAGTCCAATAGGTACATTAGGCCCAGCCCTGATTATTCTGCAGTAGGCCCCATTTAACCCTACTGGGCCGACCATGGGTGAACTCTATGAGAGATATACCTACAGACAGGCTAACTCTAATCAACCCCAACCCGTAGATGGTTTAACCTTTGATCTAGGTGGCCAATACCAGTGTTGCTGAACCCAGTTCTCTGCAGCTCAGAAACCTTTTCTACAGATTCATGGAGCTTCCTGAGAGACAGACTGAGGACACACAGATCTGCACAAAAAATGAAGTGCTTGTTTAAATGCCATATGTATTCATTGTAACCTAGGCACACATGCGCACAAGTGCATGTGTGCATGCCCACACATGTGAGTACACGGTGCCTGCTGATGAGCTGAGAGACACAGGGAGAATATGTGTCTGCAGTCAAGCTTCCAACTACTGAAAAGAAACAGGTTTAATATTCAGATGTGAATCTCTGACAAAGGAAGTTTTGATAATTGCAGCGCTTCCTCAGGCATGAGATTACTCAATTAGAGAAGGGGTTGACTGATATCCAACACAATTTAGGGGTTTAGGGACAAAAGGAGAGTCTGCCATGATACATGGACCCATTACCTAATTTCATTTACACCTCAGAGATAAAGTTTTAGGACCTGTGTGACATCAAAGATGATCTGATCTGTTTTGAAGTCAAAAAGTCAACGCTTGGTGATGAAAGTGTTGCAGGAGAAGATACAATCTTTAAATCTCTTACAAAGAAGCTTTTTTTGTTTTTAATGTTGCTCACAAGTCAATAAGAAAGAGGCAGTTTCTGTTGTGACGGGAGCAATCAGTGTGTGAGTCAGCAAATTACAGGTCTTATCTCTCTCCCTGATGTGTGAACTAGATTCGAGCTGCAATTACTTGAATTGTATCAGACGATTAGTCATAGCGCTTCAACTTCTTAGGGCTGAAATGTTTTTCTTTTTTCTGTAACTTTTAAGCCTTGGCCAAAATACTCACAACAACTATACATACACAATTCATTCTTGTTTCTGGGGCGTCAGATACAGCAGCTTGGTCAGTGGCCCTCAGCTTCTGTTTGTGATGTATAAAACACCTTACAGCAATAAGTGTGGTGTGTTGTGTAATCCCTTGTGCAGCATTAATGTAGTAGAAACAGCGAGAAAGTCCACGTAGGGTTGGAGAGAGTGGTGGTGGATCGGTCAAACACACACCGGACTTTCAACCAGGAGATCGTTGTTTGTGTCTCAAGCAAAAACCAAAAGTCAAGTTGAGTTTTTTTCAACCACAAAACATAGTTATTGGCGTATGTCAGGTGACATAGTCCTCATATCACATATTTGTGAAGTTACAGTTATTTTAAGTCCATGATCATTTTTATAAATCTAACCAAGTTGCCTAAACCTGATGTAGTTTTGGTGGCGAAATCTGTTTCCTGTGAAGACGTGAGTTTATTTTGAGAGACACTGTAGCATGTAATGAGTGGAAACTGACACGGAAACTGACCTCTCCAAAACTGACTCTAGAGAGGTACCTAGAGGGTCATAGTTTGAAGCATAGGGCCACTGACCAAGCTGCCATATTAGACGAATTGGGAGCAAGAATGTGTTGACATACAAGTTGTTAAAAAAAACTGCTTAAACACACTTACTACACAAATACAATGCTAAATTAAAAGCACACGTATGGCAGAGAGACCATATATGCAAAGAAAACAAAAGCATTGCCCTCAAGTGGAAACAGACAACTTTTCCCTCTCTAGCGTTTCCGAATGGTATTATTGTTCGCGCTGCCGTCGCAAAAACAACTGGATCAATTTACATTTTCCTCAGAGCCTAGCAACTAGAGAACCAACAACACAGGACACACTGCTTTTTTTCTGCAGTTACTCCCGCAGTATCCGCAACTGGGGCTAGTAACTGCAACAAACCTTTATTGATACTCTTTGGTAAATGGAGATAGCTACAGATCGCTACCAAGAGAAACAAAAGTGCTTTCCTCTTCCTGTTTTGGTTGCGCAATGATTGACGAACTCCTTTGTGTTGTAAGCCTTAATTGTCCCAGGAGATCATACGCGGTGGCAGACAGATTAAGTTGAAGCATAAAAACTTGTCTATTTTCACTTCAATGCAATGCAGAAACAGCGATCCTTTGCAGAGACACGTGAAACAATATACATTTATTTTGAACCATTTCTCACTTCCATCTGAATGAGAACAAAAACAGTACAAACACAGTTTCTACTGTGGTAAGTTGCTAAACAAACCACTGAGAGTCTCTCCAGCTGCGATGTCTTCAGCTGTTTAAGCATCACAAATTGTATCTATGTGTGTTAAAACTCTTCACAACTTTGCACTGCAGCCTAAACATCTTAAGGGTATTTGGCTAAATCTTTTTGGTGGTTGGGCGTTTAGGTGTTTGACGGGCAGGAAAGCTGCGTGTGTGCCGTGCGTCTGTCTGACTGTGTGTCTGTCTCTGGGTGAGCTCCAGGTCTGTTCTCTCTAAGCACTTCCATTCTAGTCATCTCCACCTTAAAGAAAGTAGCACAATGAAACTAACTAGAATTCAGGTAGAGAAGAATTAAAAACCTTGTACTAGCTTGACCTCTCTTCTTTTTTTGTATTTCCAAGTTAAAGAATGATGATAACCTAAATAATCATTTATTGCAAGAGGGTTTGTAAAGAATCCTTTGGATTGAGACATTTTTACTGCTGTATAGCGATATCTAACACACCTTATCTCAGGAGGTTTGGCTCTCTGTTGCAGAGGGAGGATCTCCTGGGGTTTTTTTTGAGCCAGAATTCAGACAATGTAAGCACAATGAACACAAAGCATTTTGTGGCACTTCATAATAAAGAATAATCTTAACCAACCAGGGCAATTTGTCATAGTTTTTTGTCTCATCTTGTTTTATTTAAAGATATAATAAAATCTTTTGTCCATCATAATCAGTGAACACACAGCACCAATAATAGGAGCAGTACTGGACTGTAGCTGCTATGCTGTGTTTGAGTGGTGGGTAATTAGGTTTTATTTTCATTAATTTTAAACTCTTTTAACCCCTATAATGTCTCTTCTGTTTAAGTAGCTTTTAAAGCAATTCATGCCAATAAAGTAAGTTTGCCTTGAAGTCAGAAGAGTGTTCATTTACATAGTATAACACTCAACTCTGCACTCCACAGCCTGTTCTTGGTATCAGCTTTGTCAATATTGTATGTTTAAAGAGGGACTGGGCTAACACTGGTGCACAGTGTGCTCATTAACACTCTTTCAGCTGGAAGCTATCTACCAGTAATGGGCTGCCTCCATGGATAAATAGCAGCAGTTTGTTCGGTCCATATTTGGATATTTAGCAGGTTAAGTAGGGTATCACTTAAGATCTGAAACAAAGTTTGAAGGGGCTTCAAGTATTTCTCTATAACCTTAACTTTGGGACAATCAGAGCTATTTGTTACAATATTTAGACTATCGCTGCTGTACAACTGCTGCTCAATGCAAACACTAAGAATACAGTTTAATATATGCACACACTTCACATACAGTGAAGGACAGAGCAAAATAAGGAGGTGATAACAACACAGACACAACTGGAAAAGTTTTCTCTTTTTTTCATATCTGTAATTTGAGTGGGCACAAATCAAACTTTTACACTTAATAGAATTTTTGAGAGCTTCTTTTGTAAAACTAGTGGATATATCAATATCGGTTACTGGCCTAATAAGTTGTTATATATTAGCATATTGGATATTGGCAAAATATTAAATATCGTGCATCCCTAATAATAATATACTAAAATACTTGCTGGACTAAAATTCAAACCGTAAAGCTGTAATTGGTAACTTTTATAGAATAACTTTGTCATATTTGCTGAAACTGCCGTTACATCCAGACAGCAGATGAGACAGATAACCTGTTTAAAGAAAATCACGTCCCTCCTTTTCCTTGTAGTGCTTTCAATGGCATTTCAAAGAATCTCCGCGACTGAAGAGAAACAACCAATCAGAGCCGAGGAGTCTCTGAAGCAGCTGTCAATCATGTCAAACACAAACAAACAGCTCGTGAATTGCGGTCAAACTGTCAACCTAGACAGCACTGATCAAATATGAGTCAGGATTCTGTTACTGCATTGCCTATTTCTCACCTTAAATGGTTTCATAGACATATTTTAGTGTACTGTTTAGCTGTAACATGAGAACGTTTGCTCCAGCCAGTGGGTGTTGCTTTGTTTTGGCTCGGCTGTTTTCAATATAGCGGCCGATTCATAAATGGGACTCCCTAAAAACACAATGCGTCACCCTTATGGGAGTTGTTTTTCAAGATGTAGTAGTGCATGTTTCACCAAGCTCTGTGACCTTGCCACCGGACCATGCTCTGAGTGGATGTTCATACTTTATAGGATGACCTGAGGGCACCTTTGTAAGAATGCAGAACAAAAATCCTGAATTATTTTGGTTTAATGAAAATGAGAAGTTGGACTGAGTGGCAAAGTATGGGCTAAAATGAGGCAAACTACTGTAGACTGAGTAACGCATGTGACAAGTATGAAGGCATACAGAATATACAGCTGAGGTTTTCCTTTAACTTGTATATTTGTTCTCACACCTATACAGGCTATAGAAACTGATAGTCTGCCTTGTAAGATACTACAGTTATATCAAATTACAGACCCCCCTCATCTGAGCAGATTTTTGTTGTTGGACATAATATAGTCAGTATATTTTAGCATAATTTAGTTGTACTTATTTTCTAGTATATTCCACATTGTGATGGTCACATTGAATATTTCTCAGTAGTCAAGTAAAAGTCATCTGAAAATCTGCAGAGAAGTCAAACATTAGTTGCTGTTGCAGCTGTGTCAGCAGTACAAGGAGCAAAACTCTAAGCCTATCTAAGCAAAATTAATAATGACAAACCTCCTGTAGGTTTAATCTCAGGTTAAGGCAAAGATCAGGTTAATAAACAACTTTTTAAATCACAGTTTTGCTAGGTTATCTGGCATACAACACTGTGATGCACGATGTAAGGCGACCTGGCCCTGGTGAAACCCCATGTTTTTAGGGAGCCACGGTCTCAAACCTTCTCATTTTACAGCTAAACTGTGCGCTGAAATACGTTTCTGAAAATATTTGAGGTGAGAATTATACAATACAGTACCAGAATCTTGATTCATATTTGATCACCGTTGTCTAGTTTGACAGTTTCACGAGCAGTGATTGACATGACTGACAGCTGCGTTAGAGACTCCTCAACTCTTTTTCGTCATCAAATTTTGATCTATGTTTCTTTGCAAAATATTAATAATCAACCATATATACAAAGCGGCATCTTCTCCATATGTGTGACAAGTTTTGCGGCTGTTTAAACTCTAGATAGAAAAATTGACCTAACCTAACTATAACCCTTCCCTCCCCACGCAGGAAAAAAATGATTTATCTATTTATTTTTCCTTCTCTTGTCATTATCACAGGTCATTGTGACAAGAGAAGGAAAATGAAAAATAAATAAAATAAAATAAAATAGAAATAAATACATGCAGGGATAAATAAAACAAAAAAACAACAACAAAAAAAGAGAAATACCCCCCATGGAGGNATATATTACGACTACTGTGTGGATGTAGTTGTAGTTACAGCAAATTATAAAAGTTACCAACTACAGCTTTACTTTTTTCCTCAATGACAACAATAAAATCTGTAAACTGGCCCTGATGGTGTTTCTGTGTAGCTGCAGAGGGTCACATTGTGATCCAGCGTACAGAAAGATACCACAGGTGCTCTGTGGGGCCGCAGCGGTCATGTGGGCTTCTGGTGACATTGCAGACATGCAGCATGGGAAACTGACCAACTAACCTTTCTCTCGCAGTGACTTTGAATTAAAGGTGACCTGGACAGGCATCGTTTCAGATGGACCTCACCTCAGAACAACTTTTGGTGTTACTGGCAATTAAGAGGGCCTCACTGAGAAAGCTAATTGCTAGTTATCGTGCTCAGTTTGACGACTTTCTGTGAAAGTACACGATCTATAATGTTGTCTATTTTTCTTATTGTCATCATTACGAAAACTTTTAATGATGTTATCCATAATAAGTATGTTGTCTTAATCTGAAAGGTCTTTGTATGATCACCTGTTACATCATGTCATGCGGTGAGTAGCCCATCCTCAAGTGGAGTTACAGTCCAACATTGCTTTTAGCTCCTCGTGCGCACAGACAGTCAAAATCTATTGTTGCTATGCCAACACTTGTGGTTTCCAAGGCAATAAACTATCTACAGCATCTATAGTAGTAAACTATCTGAACTGCCTCAACAAAGACACAATGCAGCACTCTGCAGCTTTATGAAGTACAGTATATTTCTCAACCCTAACCAGAAAATTGGTTTCACAGCAGTTGCAAAAAGACAGAAATGTGGCTGCCCACGTCTATGAATCACCTTCTCCTCCCGTCTGTCTTCAAACCTCTCCTCTTCTCCTCATCTTTTTGTTTTCTCTCTCATCTTTTTGCCTCTGTTCCCCTTTCTCCTCACATCTGGTTTTCTCTCCCCTCCTGTCTCCTCTCCTCTCCTCTTCCCTCCATCTCCATCACCTGCCTGCCTCTTCCTCCCATCTCTCTTCCTTCCTCCTGCCTGCTCTCCACCACCCCTCTTCCTACAACCACCTCTTCTTTCTCTCTCTCCTGCCAAGTCAAACCAGGCCATCAGGCCTTTGAGGACCTGAAAGTCATTTAACTCCTGGTAGATAATAAGTCTTAGAATATAGCTCCTCTCAGATAATAAGCTTTATCACTTGATTGCTCTGCACGCTCCCTACTGTCTTTAGATTCATGTCCAGGGACCTACTCAGGCGAATCACACTATTTCCTTCCTGGCAAGTCAAATTAAGACTGTGTGTGTGTGTGTGTGTGTGTGTGTGTGTGTGTGTGTGTGTATCAACCACTACTCATTACAAGGAATGAGAGATCGCTGAGGGTGCAAAATAAAATCAAACCAACCCAAAGGTTAGCTTCCAATAGTGAATGTGTCTGATGGAAATAGTTCAACAATTTCAGATTTAATGGTCCACAATCGTGACATAAACCTCTTTATTTAACCTCATGCTGACTTTAATTTTGATCAGCTTTGATAGTCTCACAGAAATGTCCGTCCCTTCACCTGTCCTCTGTCCTTTCCTGCTCTTTTACTTTTACTGTGACCTCCTCCTCCTCTCACATGTCCTCTGCTCTGCCCTCATCACTGACACCAATCCATGATGAGCATTTTACTTCATCATTAACTAGTACCTGTTGATATAACTGCAAGAAAATGATAGGAAAGCAGGCAAGAATCTGTGTCAGTTTCATTAGCGAAAATTATGACAGAAAATGATCATTTACGACCATTTTCCATGATGAAGAAGAGATGCTGATGAGGTAAAAATAGATCTTTGATCATAAAAATTTTGACGAAATGTATGTTTTTTGTTTTCGTTGACAAGACAGGACTAAAATGTTGCACCTCATTTCAACACTGTTTTGTTTTGTGTCCATACTTCCGTATAGTATACACAGTACACCCCTACTGTTCAAAGCAAGGAAGTGCATCTCTTTATAGATGGAAAGAAACGCCAGTGCAGACAAAATAACAGGACCAAATCTGAAATAATTCATAGCGACAAATAAATGAGTAGTTCGGCCTGTCAGGTGTGTGTAGCCAGTTTTGTGAAATATTTTGTGAAAGACGTATGATCCACTATGCATGCACTCTATATGCTACACAGCTAACGCGCTACCAACGTTAGCTAGCTTAACATGCAACTGAACTTTTCACGTAGATTGATGAATGTAATACAGCTCTATTTATACATTTCTTCTGTTAGCTAATTGGTTTTTATGCTAATT